TAATCTATGTCCAGTGTAAATAAATTTCCTGCAGAGTAAAATGCTTTGTGGCAGGTCTTGCATTTTAAGTATACTGGGGAAATATGTGTCTCTCAATGTCTATGTCTTTTGAGTCATTGGAAGGCAGAGTGCCTGGAAAAACCTAGGTAACCACCAACTCATGGTAGCATTGGAATGTGATAAAGAGTGGGTTTCGATCCTAAGATCAGATAAATGACATCCTATAAAAATGACTATGGGTTTAGAGATGAAGTCTGTACCAGAAATGTCCATAATATAAAACACAATAGTCATGAATAAAGTGGTAAGAGAAGTAGTTACAGAACACAGAACATCAGCTCTGTTAGTTCCATGTGTCAGAGAGTCATCTAACCTCACCCCAAATCATATTGAAAGACCAAGGAAAATTATGTTTCAATGACCTCTCTGCCCTAGTCTCACCATTGATAAGTTGACAGTTTTTAAAAATCAAATTCAAGTGGGACAAATAAGTCTTACTTGTAAAATCTTTGCTAAAGAGAAATATTTAACAAAATTGATTATTTTTTTCTATGGACTGCATCCATTTGGATAGTAGGGAGCTCCTCCCTTGGTCTATCAATATAGATGGTTAGTCATCTTATAGGAGAAATGTGTTGGTCAACACAGTTTGTAACTAAAGGGAAATATGGGACTAAGCAAGCCATCTACCTGGATTTCCCCAGACATGAAGAGACCTTTAGAACTACTTGCTTCACATTTAAAATAACACCACTCCTTAAAGTCTAAGCAAAGAATAATTAGGCAAAATAAATCTCCTCCTTTATATCTCACACTCATTGTTAGTACCTTGTTTAACCTATTCTAATTCAACACATCTGTATAATAATAAGGATAATGAGAGAATAGTCCCATGGGGGGGGGGGAGGAAGGGAAAAAGAGTCAGAGACAGAGAGACAGAGATAGAGAGAAACAGAGAGAAAGTTAAAGACAGAGAGACAAAGAGAAACAGAGACACAGAGAAACACAAAGATGGAAGGAGGGAGAAAGAGAGAGACAGAGTCAGAGACAAAAGACAGAGGAAGAGACAGAGAGAAAAAAAGACAAAAAGAGACAGAGAGAGAAAGGGAGAGCTGTTTTTCTTTTCCAAATGTTTTCCTGTCCATGGTTTAGTTTCATTTAATAAGGCTTCATAATTACATAACCAAAGTGCTTGCACATCATAAACCTTCTCTGGAAGAGGAGATTGTTATTAGAATTTCATGTGAATATTTCCTTTGTCCTTACTGAATCTTGGTATCTGAGTAAGATCTTTGATTTCTCTAGTGTCAGAGAGCTTAGAAATCATCTAATCACAATAAACTCTAGTCAAAAGGGAGAGATATTAAAGTTAGAGATATAGACTATAGCTTACTTACCTTTTCTTTTGTGGGATAAAATCATATTCTGATGGTTTCCTTCATTAATATAACAAAATCTTGTGTACATTTAGCTGTAATTCATGTAGTGCTTTATGGGTTTTAGAAAACATCCCTTCTCACATCAATTCTATTTTCATAAAGTTGTTTTTTTATTAGTGCTATAGGCATAACTATCCTTATTTTACAGAGGAAAAAAAATGAAACTCAAGCAATACAAGTGATTTCTCCAAGGTCAGACTACTAATATGTTTCTAATTTCCAGTGAACACAGTTCTCCCTTCACATTCAACATTGTTCCCACTGTATTATATGGCCTCTCCTGTAAGTATTAATAATTTCCAGAAACAGTGACAAGTCACAAAAAACAAACTCCCATTTAAAAAGATAATTGAATTGAATGGAACCAAAGCTCTTTAATAGAAAGGATTCTTTCCCTACTCTACTCTCTGGAGACAATTTCTCTTCCTGACCATATTTTTGTTTTTAATGAGGAGTCAGATCTTATGGATGAAGGTCCACTGCTCTAAGCATTAATTAATAAAAAAGTATGGAAAAATGAAAAGAGCCCTGGGCTTAGAGTCAGGGACCCATTGCATTGGGTTAGGTTCTACTGCTTTCTAAGTATGTGACAATAAAAAGTTTGTACATAAGTAGCATGATCTCAGCCTCACTTACATGATATATAATTCAGGATTTGATGAAACTAGCTATCCTTACCTGATGGGGTTGTTGTGTAAGCAAGCAATAAATAAAGGATAAAGTACTCTCTTTTTTAATATTTAACTTTTTTATTTGAAATTTTGAGTTCCAAACTCTACCCTTTTCTTCTTCCTTACCCTCACCCCCTGAGGTGGTAAGCAATCAGATATAGGTTATACATGTACAATTCTGTAAAACATTTCCATGTTAGTCATTTCGTACATGGATACCTAAAAAAAGAAAAAAAAAACTGAAGGCAAAAAATAGCATGCTTCAGTCTCTGTTCAAACAATATCAATTTCTCTGGAAGCAGATAGTATATTACATCATTAGTCCTTTGGGATTGTCTTGGATCATTGTATTACTGAGAAGAGCTAAGTCATTCACATTTCTTCATTGAGCAATATTGCTGTTACTGTGTACAACATTCTTCTGGGTCTATTCTCTTCACTATGCATCAGTTCATATAAGTCATTATAAGGCTTTTTTTTCTGAAAAACACCTGCTCATCATTTCTTATAGCACAATAATATCCCATCACAGTCATGCAGCACAGCTCATTCAGCCATTCAAAACTGAAGGTAATTCCCTCAATTTGTAAATCTTTGCCACCACAAAAAGAACTGCTATAAATATTGTTACATGTGCGTACTTTTCCCATTTTGTGATCTTTTTGGGATTCAGCCCTAGAAGTAGTATTGCTGGGTCAAAGGGTATACACAATTTTATGTCCATTAGGCATAGTTTCAAATTGCTCTTCAGAATGGTTGGATCAGTTCACAACTCTACCAACAGCACATTGGTATTCCAATTTTTCCACATCTTTTCCAGCATTTATCATTTTCCTCTTTTGTCATGTTAGCCAATCTGATAGGTGTGATGTGGTATCTCAGAGCCATTTCGATTTACATTTCTCTAACCAATAGTGATTTAGAGCATTTTTTCATATAACTATACATATCTCTAATTTCTTCCTCTGAAAACTGCCTGTTCATATCCTTTAACCATTTATCAATTGGTGAATGACTTATATTCTAATAAATTTGACTCAGTTCTCTATATATTTTAGAAATGAGGCCTTTAACAGAGATGCTGGTTGTAAAAATTATTTCCCAGCTTTCTGCTTCCCTCTTAATCTTGGTTGCATTGGCTTTGTTTTACACACATCACTGATTACAGCCCGGTAATATTCCATTACATTAATGGTGGTAATTTCTTTAGTCATTGATGGCCATCTCTTTTGATTCCAATCCTTAACTATCACAAAAAAGTGTTGCTAAAATAAATTCAAGCATAAGAGAACCTTCTTTTCCTATTGATGGATTCTCTTGGTATAAGCACAGTAATGCAGCCTCTGGTTCAAAAGGTGTGGATATTTTACTGACTTTATTTGCATAATTCCAAAATGTTGTAACATTTCACAGCTCCACTCACAATATATTAGTATGACTATCTTTCCACACATCCCTCCCAGCATTGCTGCATTTGTGGGTGATTTTTCCCTAACTGCAGGATGTGAAGGTTGTTTTGTTTTGTGTTTCTCTTATTATTAGGGATTTGAAGCATTTGTTTATGTTCTTCTGAATACCTTGCAATTTGGGGATTATGAAATGATAGCTTGTCTGCCTCACAGGATTCTTGTGAGAAAAAAACACTTTACAAAGAATAGGTGCTGTTTCTCTGCCAATTCTTGTTATAAGTAATGAAACCACTGCGTGATTATACTCAATTCCTTTGGATGATAATTCTCACCATGGTCTAACAGCACCTTCCATCTCTGTGGCAGAAAACACCATTAAACATAATTGTTCTCCCTCATTCATAGGAAGAAACTCAAAACTTTTAAAGAAAAGTGAGGCAGAATGTTGCTAAATTGTGGGGAAAAAGCAACGGATCAGAGAACAGAATACCCATGTTTGAATCTTCACGTGAATTGTGGGGGATAGCTTTGATTTCGCTCCATATAAGAAATGTAATGATGGAATGGGTTGATTAAGATCCAGTTTGAAAGCACATGTAATATACTCTGCTGGTTTCAACCCAAGCAAAGCCTTGGTTATCCTGCTTCCAGGCATGCATATTGTGAGTCCCTCTTACTAAGTCATCCATAAAAACATTTGTCCTTTTGTAGAAACGTTGGAATTATGTAGTAAAATCAACTAGTGTGTGAACTTTTAGTCAATAGAGATAGAAGTCACAATATGAGGTATAAATGTTTCTTAGTTAGTTGTAATTTCCTACTCCATCTTATTTTACATATAAATAAACTGAAGTGAACAGGGTTAAGTGGTTTGCCCAAGGTCACATAGCTAACAAGTGTCTGAGGTCAGTTTTGAACTGAGGTTTTCCCAACTCTAGCCAAGGGTGGAGAACATGTGCATTGTAGATCACATTTGGTCCTCTAGGTCCTCAACTGTGACCCTTTGATTGGGTCCAAACTTCACAGAACAAATCCTCTTAATAAAAGGATTTGTTCTGTAAAATTTGGGCTCAGACTAAAGTCTGCATCCGAGGACCTAGATGGTCTCCAGGACTTAGGTCGCCCTCCCTGCAACTAAACCCAGCACTCTATCCACTGCACCACCTAACTGACCAATATTTAGCATAGTACCTTGCACAATAGCCACTTAATATAATCTATCCATGTATCTATCTTTTTCTATTATCATCATCACCATCAATATCATCACCAATATCTACTATAATGTATTTACTTATCATCTATCTTACACCAAAATGTTAATAGCATTTTGCTCCAATGACATCTTTGTTCCTTAATGTGTATATCACAGGGTTAAACATTGGTGTCACAATGGTGTAGAACAGGGAGAAAACTTTATCTAATCCTCCTGAGTGGTTGGACTTAGGACTGAAATGTACAATGAAACCAGACTCAAAGAATTAGATGACAACTATGAGGTGAGAAGAAAAAGTGGAGAACAGTCTGTGTCTTCCAGGGGCTGATGACAATTTCAGGATGGTCAAGATAATTTTTCCATAGGACTCAAGTATCAACAGAAAGGGAATCAATGCAAAGAGGACAGCATCAGCATAGACTGAGAGGTGATTTACAAATGTGTCCCCACAGGTCAGCTTCACCACTGGGGGCATGTGACAGAAAACATGAGTGAGCTTGTTAGAACCACAGAATTGTAGAGAAAATATCTGATAGGTCTGCCCTATCACCACTGGCATCCCAGTGACCCAGGAGCCAATGACCAGCTGGACACACACTTTGTGGTTCATGATGACTTGATAGTACAGAGACCTACAAATGGCCACGTAGCAGTCATATGCCGTCACAGCCAGCAGTAAACACTCTGTTACAACAAGAATAAGAAAGAAGCAAAGCTGATGGGCACAAGCCACTACAGAAATATATCTGTTCTATGTCAAAAGATTCATCAGCATTCTTGGGAGACTGACACATGTGTAACAAATTCCCACAAAGGAAAAATTTCCAAGAAAAAAAATACATAGGTGTTTGGAGAGCTGGATCAACCTTGGTTATGACAAAGATAAGGTCATTTCCTATCAAAATACTCATGTAGATGACTAACAAGACACCAAATAAAAATCCCTGGAGATTGGGAAGGTCAGAAAATACAAGAAGAATAAATTCCATAATGAGAATGAAATTTTGTTCCTGATATTATGTTCCTTTTTTCTCTTTTCCATATGTGAAAATAGTGAAGTCAGCACTGGTAAATCTTTTTTTCCTTTTTGGCATTTCATTTCCATCTCTAAAAAATGAATGGGTAGTATTACATTATAGAATCACAAAATCGAGTAGGGTGTTGAAAGGGATGTCAGTGGTTAACATTCTCAGCCTTTACAAAAAAGGAACCTCAACTGTACATACCTGACAAGTGCCCAATACAGTCTCTGAATGGACTGCTCCAAGGAATGGGAACCCAGCATCTCTTGAGGAAAGCTTATTTTTCCCATGAAATTTCTTCCCCATGCTCCTGATAATATCTTTAGAGCAAACAGAAAAAGTGTAATCCTTCTGCCTCATGTCAAATCTGTACCTCACTGATAAAAAGTATCTTTTCTTCCTTGAGTCATCACTAATCACTTTTGGTTTCAAATCTTAGCAATTAACAAAACTTTTTGGGAAATATCAAATATCTCATAAGATATTTGTGAAGATTTAAATATAAATTAAGATATACAATTGGATGGATCTATCATTGCCTAGCTGACCAGGAAATATTTATGTTTCCATGTTAAATTGGTAGTAGGTCTTCAGCTGTGTGATTCCCTAAAAGTCTCCCTTTAACTCTGGACTGTTTCAATTTTTATCAATGACTGGTTAAAGACATAGGTACTATGTTCAATAAATTTGCAAATGACATACACATGCATGAAGGTATAGGAGTATATCTGCATTGCATGTTTGCATATATGTATACATGTATGTATAACTACTAAAGTACACATTGTGCATATGTGTATTTATATAGTGTCACATATACAAACATAAGTATATGTGTGCCTGTCTATACATACACTTATGTATCTTTACAAGTACACCAATACCTATTTATACACAGATGCATGGGTATGCACATACCCATATGTGAATATGCATATGTTCAAGTATATTCCATATTCTAATTCACATTTCAGAGGTAGAAATAGGCATACTCTGTCAATGTGAATATTTCTCTTCAAAGCACAATTCAGGTTTCTCATGTTCTGTAACATTATAGCTTTTTCTGTTCATCCCAAATCCAGGCAGTCTCTTCTATGTTTGAATTTCTAGAAAACTTACATTCTATACTATTGATGTGAAATTTACTATGTAGCACCTTACAGCCTTAGTTGCCCAATTACATTTTTATATTTAATGTCAATAGTTAGATTATTAATACTTTGAAAGTGAGAATGCCATCTTAAATGTATGCCTTGCATAATGTCTGGCACAGAATAGGTGTTCAGTAGATGTTCATTGTTATAATGGACTGTTTTTAGGAAAAGATTTCTGGACCACTAGCTAGATTGTTATCCCAAATTTCATACTTTCCAATTGATGCTTAAATCTCTAAATTTTACATTAATTTATTTGTGTTAATTCATTATCTTTTTGATAAACTCTAGAAATAATAATAAATTAATTTGTAATAGGTCACTAATGCAGATAATTACTTATTATATGTTTTTCTAACTGGGTAGTTAGTAGAGCATTAATCACTGAGAGAATGGAAACTATTTGTATGGACATAATAGTAGTCATTTGTTAGGAGTGTAAGCTTATCTGAGACACTGGTAATGGAGGACTAGCCCAGGCAAATATAGAAAGGAGATATTACTATTTTTTTTAACATGCAGAGAGAGTTACCAAGAAGAGAATGGGAGTGTAGAAGGGAGATACTGACATCCTCAAAATGTGATACAATTTCATCCCAGCTCCTGACATATTTTCCTTCCTTTGGGATTATTTGATCACTGACTCTAGGTAATATCATCATCATATCAATATTTATAAATTTAATTAAATTCTTCTAACTCTCAGTACCAGATATATTTTTATGCACCAGTCACGAAGGAGGAAATGCAACATTGCTGGGTAGAAGGTAGGATGAATAGGAACTGAATTCTAATCTTGACATTGTATAAAGTAGCTTTGTGATACCAATTAAGTGATACTGATTTCTAGTGACTTAATTTACTTATATATAAAATGCAAACAATAGTAAATGCATAGATTTGCATAACACACATTAGGTTCATCTCTCACCTGAAAGAATTGATGTGAAAATAAATAAAAAGGCATAAACCTATATATAGTAGAATATATAACTATTTAATTAACTTTCATACAAAATCTTCATCTCCTTCAAGTACCATCTATTGAAATTTGAGGTGCTCTCTCTCTCTCTTTTTAAATCTGTATCAAGGTGATTGTTGTATAATTGAAGATGAGACATATATGAGAGATACAGAGGGGAGAATCAACAAAACTTAGCAATTTAGTGGATATAAAACGCAAAGAAACAACAAGAATGAATCCAATGTTCTAAATTTGACCAACATAAAGAATGGTTGTGTTTTTAATAGTGACTGACATCCAGTGAGTTGGTGACACTGCTTTCTCCCAACAATCTGTAATTGACTAATTTGTTAAATGTGTCATCTCTATGTTCAACTCTGATAAATTATTAAATCAAACTAAATCTGTAGAAATGTCTGCCAGGAATCACTTTTAAAACTGACATACAACCTTTTTTTTATGGTGTGTGTTTTAGTCTGTTCATTCAAGCAGTTGTGAATACCATTCCCAAGTCTTCAAAAATATTACATAAAAATATATGGGGAATTTTATTGAATTATTTTTTTCTAAAATTGAAGCCAATATTGTCTAAACTCAAGGACTTCTGTTTCCTTATCATCTGAACATCCCTGATAATGAAGGACATTAGTTTAGTGTAACAATGCTTCATCTTGATGAAGATTTTCTGACACTGTGATATTTATTCTCCCCATCATTATCATTTTATTTGTCCTCCTCATCTTTCTCATCTTCCTCATCCTTGTTCTCCTTTTCCTCCTCCAACTTTTCTTCTTTTTCTCTTCTTCCTCCTCCTCCTCCTCCCTTTTCTGCTTTCATATTCTTCTAGATAGAGAGCTAGAAAGGGACCTTAAAAGCCATTTATTCCACACATCTCATATTTCAGTTAGGTGAATTGAAATCCAGAGAATTTAAGTGACTTTACCAAGATCACACAGTGACAACTCAGGTCCTGTGATCACATTGTGAGCAGTGAAAGGGGGAGGATCATGCACAGTACTTCATGCCACAGCAATATAAGAAGATGCTGCAATGCATAAAAATGGACTGGGTTAAAGGTATGCTAAGTTGTTGTTCCAAAAGATTAATCAGTAAAATTATTAGAAATGTAATCAAGAATAGTAATTTACATGAAAATCCCATTTTACCATTCACAGGTGACACCATGGGTAGGGCACTGGGTCTGGAATCACAAAGACTTGAGTCTAAATCCAACCTCAGAAACTTATTGGCTGTATAACACTGAGTCAGACACCCTGTGTATCCGTTTCCTCACCTGTACAATGGGGATATAACAGCATCTACAGCATAGGGTTATTGTGAAGATCAAATGAAATAGTATTTGTAAATCTCTTAGTACAGTATCTTTCTCATAGTAAGAGCTCAAAAAATGTTTTTCCCTCTCCTTTTCCACCTTACTCTAAGGTGAGTGTTCATTTCCTTCTGATGTTCATTTTTTCTTGTTGGGGAAAAAAAGAATAAAACAAATTTCAGTTTATCATTTTTCTGTTGCAAATTATTATCATCTCATCTACCCATAATAGTGGGCCAATATTTTCCTTGATCTTTCTTAATATATCTCTTCCTCTGTCCCTTTGTATATTTATCACCTTACGCTAATTATTTATTATCTGTCTCTAGAGGCATTTGCGCTTTTAAAAATAGTAACCTACACTATTAAAAATAATTCCCTCCTATCCACCTCAAGCTCTTTTATCTTTTTATGATAAAAAAATCAGCTTTAAGGGTTTTCTTCTTCTATTCGACTGAATTTTCTTCTTGAATTTTAGACTACAGAATCCTCCAAATTATTCCCCTGAAGTCTTTGCCATCTATCTTCCCTTAAATTGAGAGTAGGCATGAATATTTGCCCAATTCATCCTTATAGCATATTATCTAAAATTTCAGAATCAATTGAAAGGGAAAGCAGCAGAGAGGTTTTCTGTTGGAAATTTGAGGAATGTGGAACCTTTTTTTTTTATGTTTCCCCAGTATCCATTTATATTTACTTCAAACACTTTAGGGAAAATTCACAGGGTTCATGATTTCCTTGCTTGTAGCCATAGTGAATTGTCAACCTTAAAGTTGGAATGTTTTGTCAAAAATATTTTCAAAACCTAGAAAATAATGAGGATCTCATTCTCCTCTTCAATGAAACAGGAAGTTTGAAGAAGAAAATGTGCCTGGTGTTGGTTGGTAATTACAGCATCCTTCAAATTTATGATTTTTTAACTCAGATATTTTACTCAAATATTTCCAAAGCACATACAAGATTTATATAATATTTGTCCTTTTCTTTTGCCACCTTTTATTTATGCCTCATTTAATTCTTTCACTCATTTTCTTTACCCATAATAAATATTATCACAATGACCCTTACATTAGGAAATGATTTCGTACTCCTCAGTGTTTTGTCCTGGACAAAATCTGATTTGTAAAGAGAACTATTAAATGTGAAAACTGTAAATGCCATCTCAGTCAAGAAGATCTCTTTCAGATCCAAGAGATTCATATCATTTATATTAA